AGCATTCCATCGGCACGTCCCATTTCATCAGATAAACCGACAATTTTGGAGAATCCTTTCGAATTACCTGCCTTTGCAGAATTTTTGTAGTTTTTAAATGCCTTATTCTTATCGATTTCAACACCAATTCCTAAATCGTAGCAATAACCGACTTGATACATTCCGTTGGAATTCCCTTTATCAGCCGATTTTAGATAATATTTGAATGCCTCATTTTCATCCTTTTCAGTTCCACGTAACAATAACCAAGCATGTATGTTCCATAAGAATTATTCTTTTTTGCAGATTCTTTATAATAATTGAATGCCTTATGCTCATCTTTTTCAACATCGATTCCGTGTTCATAGCAATACCCAACTGATCTTTGGGCATCTGCTAAACTTAATTTGCCAAATTTGCTAGTAAGTTGGATAATTTCATCCAATAACTGTTTTTTGGTTGACATTTTGAATGCAAAAAAGATTTTCGTTGAGTATGAATTTTTCGTTGAAATTATTTAAATTTAATCAATTAGTTTTTTTATGTAATTAATAATCCTTTAAATACAACAAAAAAGTTTTTTTTTTGCACGCATAAAAATAGATCGGTTATTATACGATCACCCTTATTATTATAAGGCAAGGTTGGGAATAAAAAAGGAACAGGTGCCGAATAAAAAGTTTTTTTTACCTTTTTGTCTATATGCAGATACTTTAACAATAAATGTTCTATTTTTAGAAGAAAATAAAGTTCACATAAATGTACAGATAGCTGCCATAGTGTTGTACGTTGTATGTATTGGGTAAACAGCATTTTAATTCTACTAAATCTAGTGACGTATACAAGTACTCGCATAATTTCTTTTATATTTTAATACTAATCGTCTTGTATTACTAAAATGTAATAGAAACCGAATTTGGAAAATTAATCCTATTGGTGTCGTATTACTTCACTGACGACAGCACAATCGATACGTAGCATTTTTATTTTACAGGCAATCAAATTACAGACAGATTTATTTCATAACAATTTATTTTACTAACAAGCTCATTTTGTAGACAGTTTTTTCTCGATAGCTTAGTTCTTAGAACAGTTTTTTATTATAAATTACACTGACCTCAACCTTAGATCCTGATTACAATAACTAGAATTACTTTGTCTGTGAAATGAACTGCTGATAATAAACTGTTTACGAAATAAGATGGTTTTAAAATAAACGGCTTTACTACAAAATCTCGAAAGATAGATTCCCGAAGGGATATAATACCGACAAAGTTAGCCAGCATTGGTTATAATTAAAGATTGGTGCCGTAAATAGTTATGTCATGTCATAATTGTCGTAATTTGCAATATTATAATAAAATCATTAATAAAAATATGTAATAATTGGTAAAAATACAATTACGACATTACATAATATTTACGGCACCAATCATTAGTTATAATGTTGGCCAATTTGATCTGTATTATGTTCTTTCGGGAAAATGGTTTTCGGGATTTTGTGGTAGAACCTAAATAAACTATCTATGGTGTGAGCGTGTCTTTAATTGATTGTCGGTAAAATAAAAATGTTAATGAAATGATTGTTTATGAAGTGTCGTGTCTATTAAAGAAGTGTCAGTGAAGTTAGCAGAACAGGCCCTATTTACAGTAAATAGAACTAACGTTAATAAAATTGTGATCATGTGCAAAACTTTAAGAAATATAGTGTACTATTTTTGAATCCATTATTAAACCTAATATTAAAACTAATCAATTCATCTTTCCAGTAGCCGTGTTTATGAAAATATGAGGGTGAATCGATAGAAAACAAGCAAATTTTTTATAATAAATTTTTTTATAACTTTAAACAAGAATAACTTAACAAAAACTTTACCAATTTAATAAATTTTTTTTTTACAAATTTGTAAATAAATTAAAAAAAATTTTATCAAATTTGATTAAGTTTTGTTAGCTCATAAATGCAACCTTTTTACATTATGTTGCGCGATATCTATACTAGACAATAGTCATCAAAATGCTAAACCTTTTACGCAGGCAATATTTTTAAAACCTGATGTTAACTTTGTTTTTCATTATGAGCTCTACAAAGTTACCGGTCAGATTTTTGAAAAATTGCCTATCACTATATCAAGATCACGGATATTTTTATTACAGACATCTTGTATAAAAAGGTTTAACAGTTTAAAAAGCATGTTGTCTAGTATAGATATCTTGCACCAAATTAAGAATTTAGTATTAGCTTTCTCGCTTAAGATTAATATATAATAAAAGAATTCATATTTTTATTTATGAATAGTATTTAACATAGCTACAAAATAATTTATAAAAATAATATTTAACTTGGCTGCTATTTAAAATTAACATAGCTAAAATAATTCATATTTTTTTTATTTTAGAATAGTATTTAATACAGCAGCAATTATGATACCAGCAACAGCTAATAATTTCTCAATAATTTTTTCATTAACAATTCTCTTACAATATTCACCAGTACTCAAATCTGATTCGGGGTATAATCCAATATTCTGGACAAGTTGCACTGAATGAAATTTCTTGATTAATTTATAAGAGAAAATGATTATAAGATTCATTTGCAGAGGAAAAATGTAATTATTAGGACAAAACGAGTGATGCTCATGTGATAATTTTAAATCTTCATTACAGATTGTCCATGATGAAAGTTCATGGCGCTATGTTGTTCTGATTAAATCGATTATATCATTCTCGGGTAAATTATGGTCAAAAGTAGAATTTTCATTAAATTCACGGATTCATTTCTATTATTGTAAAAAGAAAATTATTGAATAAATGTAATTAAAATTACATATTTTGCACAGGTTAAAGAAAGTTTAATTATCAATAGTTAATTAAACGATTCAAAACTCTCATATATAGTGGCAAAAATTTGAAATTCTATACAATGCATTCAAAATGATTATTGCCCATAATACAAATAATAAATTTTTATGAACAAAAGTTAAACTTTTGCTCATATATGTACATACATAAATAATAGACGAGTCCCGTATGGTGTATAAATTCGTATTGTATCCTTCAAATGTAACTTTTACAAAAAAGAAATATTAAATCAGTACTATGATATATCATTACTAACTAGTAATCCATCAAAAATTAAATTAATTCACAAAATTTTTTTATCATTATTGTGCCTTTTGATACCACCCTAAATTTATTCATTATTTGTGAAGTATGATTAATGTAATTAAATTAATTTTTTATATCAACGATATATTCAAAAAAGACAATTTAAAATAGGTCTGGCATGATAGTTTTATGGCGAGAAATATGCTAGCTTTAATAGTTTAGTTTTAAGGATACTAAAAAAATTATTAATTTTAAATTTCCACAAAACTTACGAAGGTTATTAATATTAATAATGGTAATATTTTATTATGTTATTTATTATTTTTTTGTCTACAACCTGAGACAATCACCGTTAGACTTATTAATAATTTGACCTAGTTTGTATGTGATTATTATGTAATAATGATAATAATGTACAATCAAAATGCTATAAAAACGATTAGAATACTGATCGCAATCGTCTTTATATATTTTAAATGTAGTTCTTACAACAATTTTTGTGAAATCGGTTGCAAAAAGAAATATCAAATTCGCTAAATAAAGATACTTGATATGTGGTTCATAAAAAAGTTAAATGACAAAGGATGAAACTTCTAATGAAAGTTGAAACCTGCAAAAGATGAACTCTCACAAAGACAAAGTTCCATGTCAAAGATGGAATTCCAATTAAAAATCGATGATTCTATGAAGAGTAAAGCCCTTCGTTTGAGATAAAACTTTGTCACAGTTGGATGCGAAGTCGCTATTTTTGGATAATATAAACAAATTAAAGCCATGCTTTAAACATAATAATATGCATATATCATGATCTGTTAAATTTAATGGTTTAATAAATACAATCAATTCTCTCTAGGTATAATTCGACGGGACCAGAATTTTAGAAACATATATTTGGAGAATAATCAAGAAAAATTGCATTTGTAAAGACCAATCAGTAACCAAATATACACTTGAGGACAGAAGTTAAAGTTGTATTTAAAGATCGAAGTTGTACTTGGAGAGATTTCACTTAACGAGTGTTGACTATATCATGAATAGTTATTAATAAATCTGAAATTGTAAAAATTGTAGTTTTTTTTTTTGAATAACATCAAATTAGATATTTGATATTTGACAGCAATACTGTATTATTTATTTTATGATTTAAACCTCCATTGGTTTTATTTTATTAGTTTCGCCTCTTTTGTTAGTTACCTTCCATCCTTCGCCAGTTCATTTGTTTCATCTTTTTAAAAAATTTTATCTAAAACATATCTAGGTATTTATAAATCTATTAAATTTGGCATTTAAGCTTTAGAAACTACTCCAAATCATTCGAGCTGAGATATTAAATGTCGCTATTAAAGAAATTGTTACTAAAAGTACCAAATAAAATGTAGCGTATACTTAAATTAATTCACTACCGCTTATTTTATTATTATTATTATTATTATTATTATTATTATTTAGTTTCAAATATTTTTTTACTTTAAATTTTTTTGCGATTATACAATATTGACAATCAAAGGATAAATACCGTAAAACTTGGAAAATAAGCACCCTTATGATAAAAATTTATGTTCCATAAATAAGTACCGCCAAATAAACTTTACAAAATTGATCAATCATGTTGTCTGTTTTCAAATAACTAATGAATAAGCATCTCCGTTAATTAAAAAAGTGCTTATTTTCGGTACATACAATACTATCAATATTTTGTACCTTGGATTCTTATATAACCAAGTGACGTTGTGAAGATTTAGATTCCTGATACTGATAGATTAAAAATGGATTGCTGACAAATCTTGATAATTGCAATGGACAAATTATATCCTTACAAATGCTGGTTTTCAGTAATTTTTCAATTAGAAGGCCCACTCCGGTTGTGTATATTGAGATCCATGTAAGATTTATTTAAGTTATTCCCGTACAATATAATCATCAACCGTTAGATATAAAAAGTATAAAAAGTAAATTTCGTAATTTTTTTATATCACAGTATTTTTATTTTTTACATAGTGACAGTAAATTTTACAGCATAATTGATTAAATCATATTGATTAGAGTGATTTATTTTATAATTTTAAACCGACATACTTGAAAATTGAAAGTAACATATAATATAGATTCTTTTTATAAATTATATATTAGGTTTAAAAAATTTTTACATCGATCCAATCTTTGACACAAGTTTGCAATTCAAGTTCAATAAAAATAATCAAAATATTTAGCAGTTAAGTTTTACAGCAATTTTGAGATTCGTATAAAATTTGTCAAATCAAACTTAATTATTAAGTTTATTGATTCTAATGCCTTAATTCAAACATATAAAATATGTGATTCATTTATCTTAAAACCTCGGGCAAAACTAATTACCTGCATTGCTTTAATCTAGTTCAGTTACCTAAAATTTTTCTACTTCAGAATGCATCTATTATTGTAAATTAAAATTTTATTATAAGCATTGAAATGTTAATGTAAGAAATTTCTTGAATAATATCTGGAGCCACCAATTGACGAATTTTATTGGTTTCTTTAATATTTTTATGTATTTACAATAATTAAATGCACTTGGCGGAGTTGTGTTCATGCAAAGATTTCTTTCTATTTTTCTGCTTTCTTAATTAATATAAGTCTCAAGAAGTTTAATTTTGAATTTTTGCAAAGCGACCTACTAATGCTTTTCATTCTTTAAAGCAAAAGGTTTAAACATGCCAGAGTAATATCTTTATAGAGCCTCTACCAATGCTTTCCTCTCTTCAAAGTTCGATTATTACAAAGTCTAAATATGCCAGATGTATTTATACATATTAAGAGCTTTTGCTAATGTATTCCCACAATCAGAAAGAGTTGATTATGAAAGAAGTCAGCATAATGTTTATTAAAAGAGTCTTCGGTGATGTTTCCCATCTTAAATTAAGTTTATTAACTCCAATATTTAAAATTCAGAGTAGAATTTATACAAAGATATTTGTTATTGTTTCTCATCCTTTGAACTGAGTCAGTTAGATTCAATGCTTAAGAAAGTTAATACTCTTAAAAAGAATATTTTCTTTCAGAATTAAGTAATTATTATTAAGGCTTTTATAAATGTATTTCATTCTTTAAAATAAAGGAGATTGTTTGTAAAATCATTGCAATAGGGAACATAATAGCAACATTTGTTGCTAAGGATAAATAAGTTCTTACATAAATAATTACCAATTCCATAGATAAATCATCATCAATAGATCGATATAGCTTGTGTATTGAAACAGTAGTTATGGGTAATAATTTGGAATGATTATATAAAAAATATTTCTTCAAATTTGATTCTGAAAGTGCAAAGATATCGCAAAGATCATTAAATATCTAAAGAAGTTATTGTTTTTCTCGAAACTCAGTTGATTATTTAGAAAAATTAATGTTTTTACAAAGTACTTCTGTTATTGCTCAGAACTAAATTCAGTTAATATACATGAAATTAGAGAAGCATCAATATAGAGAACTCCGCTATTATTTACCCACATTTAGAACCGAGTTGATTAAATAAAATTATCTTTGACTTATTATTCTTATATTAACTTTAATAAAAAATACTTTTGATTTTAGTACCATATTTTAAAATTATAATATGTAAAACTCATTGCTAAAAGAATAATAATAAAATTCAAAAAAAAAGATCAAGAATATTTTCCAAAACATAACTATAATTTTATTTATTTATTTTTTTTTAAAAAAAAAATATTTATAAAATCACCTTTCTAGGCACAGTGCTAAAAAAATTTAATCTTTTAATTCCAATAAAATGTAAAATAATAACTTTTATAACTGGCCGGTATTTATGAGTAAACTATACTTTATATTCATTGTAAGCTGAATTGTGAAAAAACATAATCAGAAAAATAATGTTAAGAAAATAATTGTTTGTAAAATAATTTTCAGAGATTATACATATAAGAAACCCGTTATTAGAGTGAATATTTATATGAAGATACCTTTAATTATCGAAGCAAAGTTAATAAAATTCAATATTTAAAGATTATATAAAGAGCCTCCGCAAATACTTTCACGTTATTAGAACCAAGTTAATTAATTTCAATATTAAATGGAATATAATAGTATTTTCATAAAGCGCCTCAGCTTGATTTTGCAAAACTTCTCTACGATCACCTACCCATCCTCTAAATGAATAGTTCATTAAAATTAATATCTAAATAAGTTAGTGCAGTGTTTCTACAAAGCGCCTCATCTATTGCTTTTCCACCCTCGAAACCGATCTCATTAGAATTAATATCTAAATAAGTCAGAGTACTGTTTATATAAAGTGCCTCCGCAATTGCTTTCGCACCCTCAGAACCAATATTATTACCTTCAAGATCTAAATAGGTTAGAGTACAGTTTATATGAAGTGCCTCCGCAATTGCTTTCGCACCCTCAGAACCAATATCATTACCCTCAAGATCTAAATAAGTCAGTGAGGAGTTTACATGAAGACCCTCTGCTATTGCTTTCGCACCCTCAAAACCAATAGTATTACCTGCGAGATTTAAATAAGTCAGTGTGGAATTTACACGAAGAGCCTCTGCTATTGCTTTCCCACCCTCAAAAAGATAACTGATA